AGAGACGAGGACTAACCCAAGAAAATGACAGTAGGTATAGAAAAGGCCAGTATATTAAGAAAACATTTACGAAATAAAGTGGGCAGAAATTAGTCTTTGTTGAGGGGAGTGGGGGAGAAAAGAGATTCAAAGATCACGCCAATGTTTGCAGCTGAGATTCCTAAGTTGATAAGCCACTGACAGAAAGGGAATTCGGGATACAGAGCAGATGCTAGAGAGAGAGATAATGAGTTTAGTTTTGAGCGCATTGCATTTGAGATGCCTATGGGATGTACTGGTAAAGATACTGGCCAACAGTTGATCAAATAGAGTTTAGGAGTCATCAATTCCTAGATAATAGCAAAAACCATGAAAATGGATGAGCTCACTCGGCGAGAACGTATAGCATGACGAGTAAGGGAGACCAACAGAAAAAAACCTTTAGGGACAGCAGCATCCGTGGGTGGGCGGAAGGAAGCTGTGAAATAGTGTCACAGCAGCGAAAGGACAGCCGGGAAGGTGGGGCCCTACAAGGCAAAAGAAAACAGACTTTCGAGGGGGAAACGGCCATTTGTGTTGAATGAGATCAATACTGGAAATCGCCCCATGGACTTGACAGTGAGGCCATCATCGGTGATGAGCATCGGAATAATTATTTAGTAAAGAGGCGAAGGCAGGGATCAGATTATGGCACATGGAAGATTTCATGGAGGCAAGGCTGCAGAGGAAGCAAGTGCTGACAGTGCTGTTGAAGCCGTGGTGAGCATCCCAGGGCAAGAGCGGAGTAACGGGGAATAGGCAGGACAGGGCCGGGGAGGCAGCGGAACCTTGGGGACGTGCTGAGAATGGAGAGGAGCTGGCCGAGCACGAGCGAAGGATGAACAAGAGGTCTGAGGACTTTTTTGAGACCAAAATCCAGAAAATTGTGATGACAACAATCCATGCTTTTGTGTTGTTTTGTTTCTTTGTCAAAAGATGAGCTGCAGAATCAGCCCAGGGTTTGATCAAGTTGCCAGAGAAGAATCTCCTTAGAGTGTCATTGGCTATATGGTGACACATAGCCACCTCTAGCTACTAAGCAAAGCTGAGAGGAAAGACTTTCAGCTTTCCGGGGTCTCGCAGGGGTGGGGAACCTTCTATCTGCCAAGGGCCATTTGGATATTTATAACATCAGTCAAGGGCCATACAAAATTATCAACTTAAAAACTAGCCGGCTGTATTTGGGCAGGCATGGGATGCAGCTGGTATTGACTTCATGGGCATCATATGGACATTCTCCACCCCGCTCGTGGAGTGAGCACAGGAGAACTGGAAATATCTGTCGGTTCACCTAACAAGCAATGTTTGCCCCAGAGACCAAGATTCAGCGTCCTCATAGCCCAGTCAGTTTAGTATAGAAAGCCATGGTTCCATTGCCACAGATAGTTAGCTAGGAGTCGCAAAGGTGTCTGTCTGTATGCAGCGACCATCAGAGGGACAAGGACATTGTGAATGATCTGACGTGCCCAAACCCCAGTATTACAAAAACAGCTCAAAATGCATGCCTAAATAAAATGATTAGTCTGGTATTTTTAAAGCGCACAGTATGGGTGTGTCTGCCGATATGAAGCAATCCCTGAGATAAATAGACAACCAGGTAGCCTGTAAAAGAGTTTGTGTGTGTGTGTGTGTGAACCTCCTATCTTGACTGTGATCTCCCAAACAGCAGATTCCGCCAGCCTTGCTTTTTTGGTAAATTTCCATTTGACATTTAGGAGCCTGTTCGTTGTCCGTGTTGTCGTCGTTTGCCATGCTCAGCATTTCTTGGCTCAGGGTGTTCCTTCTCGTTAAGAAAACTTCGTGAACTTCACTGAGCCCTCCAGAATTCACGAGCCAGCTTTTCAGCAGAACTCTGGGCACGATTCTTCATGTTGCTTCACCAAAATGTTGTTTTTGCTATAGATTACAGTCCAGTGAAGTGGACAGTGGGCTGTTATCGGAACTGTTTTTACCTCGCTTAGTGCAAATTTTATCTTGCCATCGATTTATTCTACTTGTTTTTTAATGGCACAGCTTGGCAGAGGTCAGCTGCTACACGTAATGAAATTATATATTTCTGTAATAAGAAGGCGTTTTTGTTTTTTACTGTCTTGGTGGAATTTGTCCAGAATGCCTTTGATGGAGTTTGGGATACTAGTTCAGTAGTCCCCTTGTCATGGTTTGTTACCTGCAGGGAACTGCAGTCCAAAGGTATTTAATAGAAAATTCCAGAAATAAACAATTCAGAAGTTTTACAGTGCACACTGTTCTGAGTATCGTGAAATCTCACGCCGCCCTGTTCCGTCCCACCCGGGCTGTGACTCATCTCTTCCTCCAGTGAATCCCCGCTGTCTGCTCCCTCACCTAGACTAGCCTTCTCTGCCACCAGATCAGGTGTCGTGGTGCCCAGGGCTTGTGTTCAAGTCACCCTGACTCTGCTGACTCACCAAAGCACAAGAGTAGTGCTGCTGGCAATTTGGATGCCAAAGAGAGGCTGTGAAGTGCTTCCTTGAAGTGAAACGGTGTGAACATGGAGGAAAACAGAGTGTGTCCAGGGTTCGGAGCCACTCATGGTTTCAGGCATCCACTGGGGATCGTGGAACGTATCCACCGAGAACTTCCAACCTCAGACCATGCGTGTGATTTCTTCAGGATCTGGTTTCTGCCTCTCTTGGTGGACACATGGCAGCTCTCATGCCAGTTAGTGCCACACGACAGGAATCCAGGAGCTCGAAAGCCCTAAAATGCTTTGAAATATTCGATCAGTGTTACTTACAGTTGCTTCCATCCAGCCTGCCGAATGAAGACATCGCGGAGGCGGCCATCTCCCCTCGCGGTGGAGCATGCGTGGTGGCCTCCGAGGGGAGGCCCCGTCCCTAGCTCCTCACATCCAGTTAGTGACCGTCTTCCGTGATGCCAAGGCCGCTGGTCATCTCAGTCTACATCACTCCGCTCCCTTCCGCCTTACACATCACTTCCTCGAAACAAAAGTCTTTTTATTTTTTTCATGTTTGCTGTGCTAATATATTGAAGTCTGGTTCCATAGGGGAGAACTTATACGTCCTGACTGTCTCTCGAGTCCCTTCTCTGGGCTTGACAAGAGTGTAGGAATTGATGCAGTACTGCAAGCCCATAACTGTAGACCCTGCGGCCACCAGAGATTGACTCCCTGCCCTCGCGGGAGACGACCACCTCCCGACTCCCGACTCCCGACTCCCGACTCCCGACTCCCGACTCCCGACTCCCGACTCCCGACTCCCTTCTCCCGACTCCCGACGTTTAGGCAGTAGGGCTCCGCCACGTCCAAAGGACACTGCATCCTCTGATAAGGAGAAGACTTTTCAGATGGAAAAGCAAACTATGCCGATGAGTGGAAATAGAACTGTAAGAGGGATGGAATTATCTATTAAGTAACTTGTTGCTATACCTAACCTGGACAAATCATGGGCTAATGGATAATTATTATGATTTGTGTTTATTATTTATGTTAACATTGAGTGAGTTTTATGTGTTATTGGTCTAAGAGTTTTATCTACATTAACCTATTCCATACTCCCAACAAACCCATGCTCTTGATACTGTTATTTCCATTTTACAGAAAAAGAAACTGAGACAGACAAAATTTAAGGAATTAGTTCTTGATCACATAGTAAGTAGAGGCCCTAGCGAACTAAAAGTACTTTTGAATGTATTGCCCAATTACTGTTGGTGACCTGCAAGAAATTGTGGGGAACTGGGCATACAGCAGGAGTCTAGACAGAAACAAATGTAGTTCACATGTTCGCTGTTCAGTATTTTCCTGAAGACAATGTCCAAGTGCTAGTAAGTATTTTATCAATGATTTGGGAAAGATATAGAAGGTAGCTTTATAAAATTTTCCAAAAAGACCTTTGTAGGACTTTTAGTTGACTGTAAGCTCTACATGAATTCGAGGAGAATGTGCTATCACTGCCCCTGCCCCCCGAGTCCCTGAGGCTTCCACACAAGCAGCATGGCACTTAGAGTGGAGGGGGAGATACCTCTCTGGACAGGCCAGACCACTCTAAAGTATTTATGATGTTTGGTCCTGCATCCCACATTTCTTTTTTTTTTTTTTATCCTCACCCGAGGACATTTTTCCATTTTTTGTTCAGGTAGAGTAGGAGGGGGAGAGAGGAACAGAGAGAGAGAGAAACATCGACGTGAAGGGACACATTGAGTGGCTGCCACCCACACGACTGACCAGAGCCGGGGACAAACTGCAACCGAGGTACATGCCCTTAGCGGGAACCGAACCCGGGTCTCTCGGGACCATAGGCCGACGCTCTAACCGCTGAGCCAAACCGGCCAGGGCTGCATCCCACATTTCAAGGGAGATACGAACAATCAGAATATTTTTGTTGGTGAAGTATGAGAACTGTAAAATTAATCAGTTCATTTGTTTGAAGAATAATTGAAAAATGGGGGACATTTAGCCTGGAAAAGGGAAGACTTTCAGGAAGCCAATGGGGATATCTCTAATGCTTGAAGTACGGACACGAGAATGACTGCGAAGTTGACGGAACCAGGGCCAGTGGTTAGGAGGTAATGACGACAGGCAGAAGAGGCTTCATGCAGGATGGTCAGGTCTTTCAGAGATGGAATCGGCTCCTCAAAAGGTATTGTGTTTCCTTTCTCAAACGTGTGCGGGTGTACAACCAGAGACTGAACAGCCACTGTGCCCGTGTTTAAATGACACAAGTGTAGACCACGTGCTTGGGCCAGGTGACTGTTAAGATCTCTTCCAGCTCTGAAATTCTGTTTGCAGCATCCTGCGAACAGATTCAAACAATCATCCCGGCGTCTGGGTTTAATCAAGGACAGAAATAGTCTATCCTGTCTTGTGCGTCTCATGCTGCCAACACTAGCATTAGCCAAATTGGTGAAAACAACATGATGAGCAACAAAATAACGTATCATTTCAAAAATAACAGTGGGCATCCAGTGAAATGATTGGTGTTTGTCTTCGCCCCTCCCTCCCTCAGTGCTGTCTCCTGCTCAAGATAGCCACATGAACATGGGTCTGCCCCCGGTGTCGGAGCAGATCATGCAGACCCTGAGCGAGCTCGCCAGGTCTTTCCAGGAGATGGCCGACCGCTGCTTGCTGGTGCTGCACCTGGAAGTCAGGTATGACTGAGCAACGCACGCGACTGGGACTGAAAGGCTCTGTGAGTCATGCCTCACTTGCTTATTTCTGGGGAGTATCACTATAATTTTTGCTTATTATTATGGTATCCTTTTTTTACACTGAAAGTGTTTTTTAGTGCTGTTCAGCCTCTCTGAAGGCTTTTGAGCACACGTTGCATTGTGAACATGGCGATTCAGTTTCCAAGGCCTGTGATATCAGAATGATTTGGATCTGAATGGTTAGTTGGTCTTAAGATAATTAGTTACGTTTACTAACCCTCAGTTTCCTCATCTTAAAAATAAGAACAATAATTTTGAACTTCTAGATTTTATAAATGACATAATTAATACTCCTGCCACATAGCAAGTATGTGAAATGTGGTAGCTTTGTGATTATAATGACGTTGTTGTCATTGGTATTTTTACCAAGCTGCTCTGCTGATTAAGAAGGTAGTATACAGATGCAGGAACCTTGAGCCCTTTCTTCAAGAATTTAAAACCCAATAGAAGAGATTAAGTTACAATAATAATTCAAGAAAATATGGGCCTGTTGTTTCTTCCCCTGCAGTGTAGACTCTTCTGATTCACTCTGGAAACCTCTGTCACGACACATATGGAAATGATAGGAAGAAAGGACTAGGGGGATTTTAATTGTTGATTCATTCGTTCAATAAGTATTGAGTTAATCTTCTTTGTGCGAGGCAGTGTTCTCTAATATTTGGGATGTAGCAATGTAAAAATCACTCAAGGTCCCTGCTCTCAGGGAACTACATTCTAATGGGGAGAAACAGCCAAAGAGTAAACAAAAAAGGTTATTTCAGGTAAGTGCAACTAAAACAACAAAAAAGCAAAATTCAATCGAGCAGTGCTAGCCAATAGAAATATAAAGTGAGCTACACATGAACCACATTATTTTATTTATTTATTTATTTATTTATTTATTTATTTATTTATTTAAAATATGTTTTTATTGATTTTTAGAGAGAGAGAAAGGGAGAGGGATAGAAACATCGATGTGAGAGAGATATATCCATTGGCTGCTTCCTGCACACCCCCTACTGGGGATCGAGCCCACAACCCGGGCATGCGCCCTGACCAGGGATCAAACCAGGACCTCCCAGGTCACAGGACGTTGCTCCAACCCTTGAGCCACACTGGCTGGGCTGAACCACATCATTTAAATTTTCTAACAGTTACATTTGAAAAAAGAGGGAAACATAAATTATAACAATATATTTTATTTAACCCAATGTAACCAAAATATTATTCCAACCTGTAATTAACATAAACAATGTTAATGAGATATTTTGTATTTTTTGTCCCACACCTTTGAGATCTGCAGATTTTATACTCCCAGCACTTGCCACGCGGAACTAGTCACCTTCCCAGTGCGCCAGCGCCTCCGTGTGGCCAGTGCTGTCATCCTGGGCAGTGCAGGGAGTGGCTGGGGTGGACCGGAAAGTGGGATTCTGTTTGTTATTAGATAGAATGGTCAGAGAAAATGTGACATGGTCACAAGAAGGAGCCATCTGCGCAAAGACCAAGGGGAAGGACTTTCAGGCTCTGCTGAGGGAAAAACACTCAGAGGTCCTGAGACAAAATCAGGCTTGGAAGAGAGGGGAGTCCCGCTGATGGCAGCCCAGGGAACAGAGGGGCGGGGAGGAGCGACGGGCAGGAAATGAGCACTGGAGCCTGATCACGTGGGGCTGGGGAGCCGGGCGGACCAAGTGCACAGTTCACATTTCATTTCAAGTGCATGAAGATGCCATAGGAGGGTTTTCAGCAGGGGAGACATACTCACTCATTCATCAATTCATTCATTTTTATTTCAATTTATAAAAAAAATTTAAATTTATTGGGGTGATATTGGCTAAAAAAGTATATTGGTTTCACGTGTACAATTGTATGATTTATCCTCTGTGTATTATATTGTGTTTTCACCACCCAAAGTCAGATCGTTTTCTATCGCCATGTGTTTGACCCCCTTTACCCTTTACTATCCTCCACCCCCTGTCCTCTGGTAGTCACCACCCTATTGTCTGTGTTTACGAATTTCTGTTTGTCTTTCATGCTTATTCATTTGTTGCTTTCAGGTTTATATCCCACATATGAGTGAAATCCTATGGTCCTTAGCTTTTTCTGTCTGACCTGTTTTGCTTAGCATGTTTACGATTCGATGAAGAAGGTGTGGATGGACCTTGAGAATATCATGCTAAGCGAAATAAGTCAGACATTCATTCACATTTTTAGAAGATCATTTTGGCTGTCAATAGAAAAGGAATTTCAGGGAGAGATAGGAATGGAAACAGTGACCAGTTGAAACCAGTGGACACCAAAGTGATGGAGGTAGATGTGTGAGAAGTGCTATACTTGAGACACATTCTAAAGGTAGAGCTGATAAAAGTTGTTGATAGATCTGATTGAGTGTAGGGGTGGAGGCGGTGAGACAATAGGTCTGATTGGGTGTAGGGGTGGAGGTGGTGAGAGGACAGGTGTGACCGGGTGTAGGGGTGGAGGCGGTGAGGGGATAGGTGTGACCGGGTGTAGGGGTGGAGGTGGTGAGGGGACAGGTGTGACCGGGTGTAGGGGTGGAGGCGGTGAGGGGATAGGTGTGACCGGGTGTAGGGGTGGAGGTGGTGAGGGGACAGGTGTGACCGGGTGTAGGGGTGGAGGCGGTGAGGGGATAGGTGTGACCGGGTGTGGGGGTGGAGGCGGTGAGAGGAAAAGGCCTCAAGGAGAAGCAGTAGCTTTGGGGCCCCAGCAGCCGTGTGGGTGCCAGGGCCATTAACTGGGGTGAGCAGGACTGAGGGACGAGAAAGTTTGGGCGACGGGTGGAAGTCAGGGATTCCCTTTTGGAGATGTTCCCTTTGAGATGCTTATAGACATCTAGGTAGAAGGTCAAATAGGCAGTTGGAGGTAGACTTTGGAAACTTCAGGATCGGAAATCTTTGGATCAGAGAATGTACAGTAATTTTCTTCTGGATGATGGTGAGACGTTATTAAAGTTGATAGAGTGTGTGTGTGTGTGTATTTCTCTTGGAGTCTTTACTGCATAGAGGGGATCAATAGTGATGGAAAAAAGAAAAGAAAAGAAAAAAAAATTACATTTTAAAAAATGTGAATAGTTAGAACTAGGATATCTTTCCGGGGTGCCCAGGCAGAGCCTAATTGATAAGGTTTTGTTAATGTCACTACTTTTGTGTGTCGCTTGCTTTTTTTTATTCTTCATCATCTTGTCCAGTGAGTTACTTCTTATTGCCTGTGAGCATCTTGTGAGCGGAGCAAGAGAAGGAACATCGCAGATTTGTGATCTATTTTACTCAGCATTATTTCTGAACTTATTTGTTACATTCAGCTGTCCAGAAATAAGGCTTTTCTTCTGTGTTTTCTGATTTGATTTATGATAATTTGTAGATCTGTTTTCTATTTATTTGTAGGATGGCAGGTGTTTTCTGTGGCTAGGTAAATGCAATAGGCATCAAAGAAAAAGAAGCCACCCGTGACATCCTGATGTCTCTGTTACCTGGGTTGCACAGAAAACAAGGGAACATCAAATTCATTACCATCACAGCTCCTGGAATTAAGCGATTGATTGTGTGGGCACAGGACGTGTTCTACATTTAGAATCATCTGCTTGTAGTGTAGTTAATTCCAAGTGGGATATTTTCAACACGTCTGAGTAAAGTCTTTTAAATCTTTAACCTCTATTCTGCTCTTTTTGTTTTTGTACATCTTGGCATTACTATTCTGTAGTGCTGAACATGGTTTAGTCATTATTTATTAACCTGCAAGGAACCGTTAGGTGCTGTAACATCCACTGTTGTATCTCCTTCAACATTAGTCTGGAAACAGAAAGATCACTTTAAGAACGAGTAACAAAAATGCTGAGTTTTAGAGTCCTGGATGCAGGTTATCTTTCCTTGTCTTTCACTGTGAACACCAAACATGGTTTTGTCTTTTTTTAATTGAATGTCTTCACCGCATATAACGATTCCAACATTCAGGTTGCTCTCTTATGCATGTGCTCCATTTGTCTTTGTTTCTTTTTTTTTTTAATTTATTTATTTTTTAATCCTCACCCAAGGACTTTTTGCATTTGTCTTCAGATAGAGCGGGAAAGAGAGAGGGAGGAAGAGAGCGGGAAAGAGAGAGGGAGGAAGAGAGAGAGAGAAACATTGACATGAGAGACACACATCGACTGGTTGCCACCCACACGACCCCAGCTGGGCCCTGGGACAAACTGCAATCAAGGTACATGCCCTTAGTGGGAACCGAACCCGGGTCTCTCTGGTCTGCAGACCGACACTCTAACCGCTGAGCCAAACCGGCCAGGGCTGTCTGTTTCTTTTAAAGTGTGGTACATAAAACTAGACAGAATGTTCCATGGATGGCTCAGAGAGTGAATGTCTGCCCACTTCATTCATTCCTTGTAGTACTAAGCTTATTTTATTTTTACCGTTGATGATGAATAAGTTTACAAAATGAATAAGACACATGCCAAGCAAATCGTTACACTGTGGGTAATAATGCTAAGACAGAGGATACTGCTGAGTGCCTGGGTACCCACGGTGGGTGACCGTGGAAGAGACTTCGCTCCCCGAAGGCAGGAATCAGGTGAGTCTTCTTCACTGTGATGCCCCAGAACCAGGAAGAGTGCTGCTGCATAATAGGCGCTCAGTAAAAAAATATAAAAATCACTGACTTGAGAATCAGCTGGTTTAAAACCAAACCCAGATAAAATAAGTGCTGTTTCCCCAAATAAAACCTGTTTCTCGTTAAAGAAAAGGCGTGGGTTTAGAGATTTTCTTTTCGCTCGGCAGTTCGCTACATGTCCTGGAGAGGTACAGAGGTGCCGCGTGGCCAGCGTTGTCCTTGACCTCGCCGTCGGCCTGTGCCGGTGTCGTTCCCGTCCTGCTGCGAGGAACAGTAGAGCCCAGGACCTGCTGTCCAGACTGGTGCCCGGGAAGGTGGCTGGCCAGGCACTGTGTCTGCGTCTTTAC